CTTGCTAGAGCGAGTTAGTAGTCTGGCTGCTGCGTTTTGTATAGCTTGGAGGCGAGAAAGAGATGATTTATCTAAGCTGGTAAACAGGGAATTACAATAATCTAAATGCCATGTAGCTATGTAAACAGCTTCCAAAGATACCGCCATAGCTCTCTGCAGCTGTAACATGTTCACGCTTTGCAAATTGTGATAGTTAATCGTGATACGTTTTTGATAGTTATGAAGAAAGAATATGTTTTTAAGGTCATGCTAGGCGGTTGCTATGGTGGTTGCTGTGGACTAGGGTGGACTGCGCGTCCGAATCCTGTTATAGCTGTCCGCCGTAGGAAGGCTGCGTTCCATTCAGAAGTAGCCACAGTCTGCTGTAACTCTAACTCAAACCCCATTTTGTTCTTTAATTATAGGCCTTTTATAACCGTTCATCCTTCTGAAATGTGTTGTGAATGAATGCTGATGCAACTCACTGTGGGAAAGCTGTTATGTGACACATGCAACACATTCACAAGGAAGAGAACACAAAGGGAGGACACGCAGAGGCTGTGTTAAAGTCAGAAATCCAAATCTTTAGTCAAAAACAGGCGGCGGTTACAAACAAGAAGACAAGCAGTCCATTAAACAGTCTACATGGTCAAACATACAGTGAATTCAAACAGTAAAAAAATAACTGGACACTGAAAAACGTAAAGCAATGTGTGATGCAATAAAAAGAAGCAGCGCAGTATTTTCACTGAATTATCATCAATTACAAAAGAGAAACACGATGATTACTAAGGTTTGTTTTCTAAATGCAGTTAGAGTGTGGCTGGTAAAGATGGAAACATACAGAATGTAAACTGTGTGAGTTTGGTGAACTTTGTTAGTAACAAATGAGGTAAAAAAACCAAAACAGACAAAACACAGGCTCTCAGTAATCCTGAATAATTAGAAAGCATCTAAACATTCTGGATTTTTACAGTCTTAGTTCCGCTCGCTGTCATCATTATAATCATCATGATCAATGGCGAGGTCCTGAGGTGGGTGGGGCTGTCTCTGGTGATGTCACCATGAAGGAACAGCGTCTGGCACGTGTTGCTGAAACATCCCAGTACACTGGTGTAGTTTCCTCTCCAGCTGTTTGACATTTGACACTTCAACATTAAGGGGAAGAAGAAGAAACAGTGTTAGGTCAGGTGACCACATGGTTTCTAAAATAACTGACAGCAAGTAACCAGGCCGTTAGAAATGGATATCTTGTGTTTAGAGTTACTGTAGTTAGGTAAGTCTACTTACCAAAAGCAGAAGCACACAGATGAAGGATCAGATGCTGAATGTTGCAGGAACATGCTCATGTGTGGTGGTCATTCAGTGTTGCTCCGGGAGGTTAGACGGTCCAAGACTGATATCCTGCCCATCTGAGAGTTTGAAAACACACATGCAAAGATTTATTTTGTGTTACAGTCAAAGTTGGATGTTTTTTTTTTGTCCTTTAAAAATGTTCGTATATTTGAAAGCACTAACATTTAAGGATGACTTGGATTGTCTCCTTTAAATGGGAGACAAGTGTATCCACTGATCCACGTCACTTGGATGATGACTCCTCTCTCCATTACTCAGAAACACTCCTAATTGTTACGGCCTCTGGCCTCAGGTGGCCCCGCCTTTCTCTATGGAAATCAAAGTGTTCCAGGACTGACGGGGGATTGGCTGGCCCAGACCTATACCCGTCCCAACTTCATGCAGATCAGAGTGTGCCAGACCACTCACACCATTGGCTGCTGCAGGAGCCTTGAGTACGACAGACCAATGACACAGCTGCCTGCAATTACCTGAGAATATAAAAGGCTGAGGATCCTTCATTTATGGGGGACTTGTTGATGCGAACTGACTGTGTAGACTGTCCCCTTGCCCTGCTGCCATTTGAGCCTTTGTTTTTGAGTTGCCTCGGACATCGGGTTTTGTTTTCTAATCCTGCAAAAAGACCAGAGAACACGAGATACACAACATCCAACATTCAGACTCAACAGCCTCCATAAATGAAGAGCACCAGGATGGTCCAGTTATACTAGATATAAGCATACTTCACATTACTGTGTATGAATAATAATCAAAAGACAAACTGTGACCAGTGTGTGAATGGGTGGATGACTGGATGTGTAAAGCGCTTTGTGGTCCTTAGGGACTAGTAAAGCGCTATACAAATACAGGCCATTTGCCATTTACAAGATGCAGAGCATGAGGTCCCATTATCAGACTGCAAACAAACATCCACCAGGCTTCTTTGTTGGCAGAGGTGATGATTCTCCCATCAGGGATCAGTAGCGTGTATTAACCTGTGGTATAAGCAGCAGTCAGTGAAATATTACTGTTTCAGATAAGAAATCTAGCAAAGGCAGGGTGGGAGGGATCTCTGCAAACTGACTTACCTCTGCAAGTGTGAGGCTGTTCCTTCAGCCTCAACAAAAATATGACTCTCCAGTCACAGACAAACAAAAAAAAACTCCAGCTGGGAGATAGAAAACGCTGTCTGGGTCTTGCTGGATGTTGCTGGTCAGAGTCCACACCTTAGCAGAGTGCTGCTTGGTCCCACTGACCCATGTGGACAGTGACTGTGGAGAACTGTTTTGGCAAACGGAAAAGAGAATTAAAATAACAAAAAGCCAAACAGGATTTCCACAAAGACTCTCTTGGAATCAGCAATCAGAAAATCATTGGTTCATATTTCAATTAAATATGAACAAGTTCTTTAACTGTCAGCAGTT